TAGGAACAGGATGTTAACCAGCCACAGGCAGCACCAGCCCGGCTGCCCCTCCTGCAAGCTCACCACTGGACAGAGAGGAAGCTGTTGCTCCCCTGGCCTTGCCGAGGTATCCAATGCGCTCTGAGGGGAGCGTGGAAAGAACGTAAATGACAAATGCCAAGGCCTGCTGGGAGGGGAAGGTGACTCAGTGGGAATGGAGGAGAGGAGTCTGGGGAGCAGCAAGAGATGGGGTGATTATGGGAAGTGGGTGGGTAGGACTGGGAGAGGAGTTGGGGAGGGAGCTGGAGGGATGGGATGTTGGGAAGAGAAGTGCCTGTCAGCCCCACATTCCCTTCCTCTGTGTGTGTGCCAGGGTCTGAGGGGGGCAGGCCTTCTAGGGGGGTCTGGCCCAGACATTGCTCTTCCACTTCTGAGATCTGGGGGTGTCTGAACCTCATTGCCTGCCCCTGTGTTTGTGTAGAGATCTGGGATGCCTTGGCCATCTGTGAAGGTCTGAGCATCTCTGGTCCCCATCATGTGGGTTGAAATCTGCAGGGGGCAGGGCTTGTTCCTCTGGAGGGGTCTGAGATCCTCTCTGTGTCCCCCATGCGAGCCAGGATCTGGGGAAGCCCTGCTGAGAAGAGGGTATTGGGGAGCGTGCACCAAGAACTGGGGGGAGGAGATAAGAACGGGCAGATCACAGGGTCATATCCCAGGGTCTCCAGCTTCCCCTGCCCTGAGTGGAGCAGTTCACACATCTCAGAGCTGCTGCCTTAGGGTGGATTCATCTCCATGAGGTGTGCTCATTCCATGCCAAACTGCTCAAATGGGCCACTCCACATCTCTGAGCCTCCTGCCCAGCAGCCGGGGGTGGACAGCCCTGACCCTCCACTCTCCCTGGTATGGCATGGAAGGCTGCTGGAGTCGCTTGCTATAGTGAAGGTTACTGTAGACCAGCTATTATTTAAAGTTTGACAGCATACTTTGTGTAAGGGGGGAGGGATAGCCTGTTAAACCCAGGGTTGTGAGTTCAATCCTTGCAGAGACCGTTTGGGGCAAAAATTTGTCAGGGATGGTCCTTGGTCCTGCTGTGAAAGCAGTGGACTGGACTCGATGACTTTTCAAGGGCCCTTCCAGCTCTAGGAGATAGGCAATCTCCATTAATTTATTTATTTTATAAGAGCTATTGATTAAAGACCATGTCAAAAGCTTTCTGGAAATCTAAGTACACTATAGCTCCCTCTTGTCCACATGCTTGCTGACGCTCTCAGAAAATTCCAGCAGACAGTTTGATGTTGAAGCACATCTGTTTGTGGCTTGTGTTTGGCATGGGTGCATGGATTCATAGCATCCATACAACACCATTACTTCACTCTCTTTGGGTCTAGTGTTTTGAAGGTCTTTTGATTTCCAACAGTCAGTTCATTGGCTGTCAGCTCATTCCTTCCCTTTCCCGCTGATCAAGTCTCAGCAGAGATGGTGCACTATCTTTCATATCTGTTTGTGGCTTGTGTTTGGCATGGGTGCACAGGTTCAGTGTCAGTGCAATATATCCTCAAGACAGTGCTGAATTATATGAACAAGAATGTATCTGTTCAACACATGGAGCTTGCTACAGAAAGCTGGGTATCTGGGACGCAGGGTACAGCACACAGAACCAGCCTGGGCCAAATGACACTGGACATTGTTTGTTGGGACAGTATGCCCAGAGCTCTTCCCTTGAACTACAGCTCACAGCCGATCCATCTCGAGGCCATAGAATTGAGGGTCACAGCTCAGTGGTAGTGCAGGAACTTGACATTGTAGCTTTTGCAGCATGACGGATCCCTTACAAACTGCGTGTGCATCTTTGCAATAGTTTCTTTAGCAATCAACAAATAACTCCTCTGCCTGCCACCACCGGCTCCCCGCCTTTCCGCCCCCAGCCCGACTCCCTCCACCTCTGCCAAAGGATTAGTGCTTGCGGGACCCAGCCCCAAACTGGAGGGGGTGGGTAAGATGCGGTACAAGCTCCCCCCACTCCACCCGGGGTCGAGCTCAGCTATGAGCCAGGTTTGGGCCCCCACCATTTGGCAGGAGGGGGCGCCAATTTTGCCTTTGCCCTGGGCGCATAGCTCCCTCGCTACGCCTCTGGAGAGGAAGGGGGTGTTTGTGAAAATGTGGTGCTGAGCAGTATCAGGGAACTTCACGAGCAGGTGTTTTAGGGGTTTTCTGGTATTCTTTAGTTAGTGGGATCAAAGGAGAGAAGCTTGTAGAATCTGGAGTTGGTGAGTTGTCTGGTTGCTTCCTGTTGATGATCTGGTCTGTTCATGATGACTACAGCGCCCCCTTTGTCAGCCTCTTGGATTATGATGCTAGAATTGTTTTGGAGACTTAGGCTGTGTCCAGACTCAGGGGTTTTTTCGGGAAAAGTAGCCTTTTTCCGAAAAAACTTCACCTGCGTCTAGACTGCAGCCGCGTTCTTTCGAAATTAAATCGAAAGAACGCAGCTTTTTTTTCGACGGCGGTAAACCTCATTTCACGAGGAAGAACGCCTTCTTTCGAAAGTGCTTCTTTCGAAAGAAGGCGTTCTTGAATGTAAATAGGGCTTCTTCGAAAGAGAGCATCCAGACTCACTGGGTGCTTTCTTTCGAAAAAGCGGCTTGCTCTTTCGAAAGTTCCGCGTGCAGTCTAGACGCTCTCTTTCGAAAGAGGCTTGCAGTCTAGACATAGCCTTACTGTATAGTATTGCAGTCTGCATGGCTTTGGTTATGTGTTATATGTTGTTGTTTGCTAACAATGTCAGCCCGGGCATTTTTGCGGAAGCAATCAATGTAGAAGTCAAGACTCTCGTTACGACTGTTAGTAGGGTTCCACATAGACGCTTTCCTCCTGTACAATTGGCAGAGGTTGTTGCACGTTGGTGTGTTAGAAATATTCCTTTAGGTGGAGGCGGTAAAAGTAGGCCTCCAGCTCTCCATGGAATTGAATCATATTCATGGGGGTGGTGGGGCAGGAGAGTCCTCAAGATAGGACAGATTCCTCTGCCTGGCTCAGGGTGTGGTTGGATCGGCTGACAATGTTGCTAAGTGAGTTAGCAATCAAGTTGCTCTGTGAGAATTTGAGTTTGCCATGTTGCCTGTTTGCTGGCATTTCCTCTCTTCCTACTTGGCTTCCATCTTCCCCTCAAGAGGTGGCTGCAATTCAGTGGCACTGAGTATAACATGTGGGAAGTGCTTTGAGATCCTCACATGAAAAGTGCCACATCATGTGAACTAAGGGATTTTCTAGAGCTGACCCTCAGCATCTGGCTGTTCCCAAGGTGACTGGGCAGGTTTGGGGAAATAAAGGGGATTGACTGAAGATTGCGCTGCACATGTGACCTCTGTCTCACCAGGCACAGAACAGAGTGACAGGAGTGCTGGCTGCTGCCAAGGTGATTGATACGCAGGGGGAGGAGGAGCTGGAAGATTACATGGTGGAGATCGACATCCTTGCGGGCTGTGATCACCCAAACATCGTCAAGCTGCTGGATGCACTGTACTGGGATGGCCGGCTGTGGGTGAGCTGCGGGACCTAACCTGCCAGGGGTTGACCCCCAAGCCAGGCTTGCCCCAGGCCACGGTCCCTACTGAGCCTTAGGATGAAAGCTGAGTGTGCCAGGCAAGGCCTGGAAAGAGCTAATGACCCTACCAGCACAGGCACCCTGGGCAGGTAACTGGGACCAGCTGTGTGAACCTTTGAGCTCAAGGGAGCTCATACAGCTTCTTGCAGTGTGGCAAAGCTCTGGCCAGGCCCTGTGGGCCCCGCACTCCTAGGCAGTTATTGTGGCTCTCTGTGACCCTCAACGCTCCCGCTTACCTTTTCTAGAGGCCAGAGTCACGCTTACCGAGCTATTCACATCATTGGTGCAGTCAAAGGATTGGGGTGAAACCCCTCCGTAATTCTAGCCTCCCTTTCCAGGAGCAGACTCTAGTGGTGTGGGGAGGGTTGGGGCAACCCAGGCCCACCCACTACTCCAGGTTCCAACCCAAGGATCCTAGATAGGAGCGCCTGATGGGGTTTTTCATCTGGCCCCAATACTACAGCCTTTTCCCTGGACCACTTCCCCAAACATCCCAGCTACATCTACAGTGCAGGCTTCTCGTGCGAGAACTGTTTTGCCTAAGCATTCTGGTGCAAAACAGTTCTTGCGCAAGAGCACGTCCACACTGCCATGTGCGTTTGCACAAGAGACGTGCTTTTCCACAAGAGCGTCCATGGCAGTGTGGATGCTCTCGTGCGCAAGAAAGCGCTGAGGGCCATTTTAGCCATAGGGGTTTCTTGTGCAAAGAAACCCCTGTTGCCCATCCACAGTGCCTTCTTGTGCAAGAGCTCTTGGGCAAGAGGGCTTATTCCTCGTGGGGAGAGAAATAACTCTTGCACAAGAAGCTCTCTGTTCTGACGCTTTACTGTAAATTGACTTGCACAAGAACACACACGATGGCTGAGTCTAGATTGGCATGATTTTCCGGAAATGCTTTTAATGATAAAGTGCCACCCATGACAGTGGCGGGAGGAGGTTAGCAAAATAATGCTGCTTTTCTCCATGTGTTCACGTTGTGCAGCCTCCACTCAGTGAGTGAAGTCAGTCTCATTTTGGTTGCTGGCCAAACACACTTCCTACCTCACGCGTAATTTAGCTCCTGTGCTGCTCTGGGCATGCCCTGTCCCAGGCCTGGGCAGGAAGCAGTAAATCAGAAACGGCAGCTAAGGAAGTAGCCAGTAGCAGTGGGGAGAGAAGGGAAGGAGGTGTGGGTCAGAGCATGTGAGGTGTCTGCTCGAAGACCCTTCTAATCCTCCACAGAAGAGCAGAGGGACCCACAAAGGTACTCCTGGGGCATGTGGTTTCACAGGTGCTTTAACACAAAAGAGATTTTTTTTAAATGTGGTCAGTTTAAAAAATAATCTAGCTGTTGCCCTGGGACCTGAGCCAATTGCCATAATTGAGGCCATGGAGAGTTGTTCCCTTTAGCATGAGAAATTAATGCCACGAATCAGGGATATTCTCAGGTGTGTGATCTTGACTGTTCACGAAACACATGGGCTGTGTCTAGACTGGCAAGTTTTTCCGCAAAAGCAGCTGCTTTTGCAGAAAAACTTGCCAGCTGTCTACACTGGCCGCTTGAATTTCCACAAGAACACTGACTTCCTACTGTCTGAAATCAGTGCTTCTTGCGGAAATACTATGCTGCTCCCGTTCGGGCAAAAGTCCTTTTGCGGAAAAGGGCCAGTGTAGACAGCTCAGATCTGTTTTGCGCAAAAAAGCCCCGATCGTGAAAATGGCAATCGGGGCTTTTTTGCGGAAAAGCCCATCTAGATTGGCACGGACGCTTTTCTGCGAAAAGTGCTTTTGCGCAAAAGCATCCTGCCAATCTAGACGCTCTTTTCCGCAAATGCTTTTAACGGAAAACTTTTCCGTTAAAAGCATTTGCGGAAAATCCTGCCAGTCTAGACGTAGCCATGCACTGTGCTTGAGTCCCTGAACGCTGTAGGAACGAACAGTCAGCAGCTTCGCCGCTCAGGAATCCCCCTGCCTGCCTGTCCTGCCCTCTCTGTGCCCAAGAAGCTCCATCTCTGCTTCCTCCCTGGAAACTGGGGTTTCAACACGACTAAGAGCAGAGGTGTTGGAGTGAAGTCTAGGGAATCGTTGCCTTTATCACAGCAGTGCAATCAGTCCAGCAGCAGTGGGGGATAGCTAGGGCAGGGTCAGAGAATGAGGCATTGATGGTGGGGAAAGAGAGACTAGCAGATAGGTGACACTGTCTGGGTGGGGAGAATGGGGAGTATCCAAGCCAGCACCCCCGACATGTCAAGAGATTAGACGCTGTGCCATTGGCGTGGCCCTGCTCTGACATATTGCCCTCTTCTCAGATCCTGATTGAGTTTTGCCCAGGAGGAGCAGTGGATGCAGCAATGCTGGGTAAGTAAATATTCTCCTGGCATCTCTCCAGGGGCCTGTCTGTATGACCACATAGTACACAGCAGTGTTGTCAGCTGGCTTGTGCGTGCGTGTGTGTGTGTGTGTGCTTTCCATGTGCACAGACAGCTGGCTCAGCAGACCTTGCTAGTGCTAGTCAGGGTGATTAGGTGCTGGAGACTGGAAGGGTGTTGCCTCAATTACACTGTCTAGGCTGCCTCGGGGCTCCCATGTTATCGGTAGGCAGTGCAGCCTGGGAGTTCTACAGACTCATAAAGGAAGAGCACGAGCACAACTCGATTTGAAGGCACTCGGCCAGCAGTCAGCAACGGGACTTTCAACTGGCCCCCCGTTGCCTGGACAAAGAATTAAGGTGAAGTAGGGTCGTTTATAGGCTGAGACAAACAACTAGAATACACGACTACACCCCCCCTTACATGCTCCATGGCATCTGTTTGTTACGTCCCTTTGTTCCTCCTCGTCTCGTGGACAAAACACCTCTAGCCAGTTTTGTCAAACCATCTAATCTTGTGCCCAGTTAGGCAGTGTCTGTGCCAGCTGGGCTATGCTGACGTGAATTTCTAATACCTGGGACAGTAGCAACTGCGCCACATTCAGGGGCTGGCTTTAATCCATAGTCTGACTTTGGTTCACAGGCTCTGGGTCAGGCCTGAGATCTTGTACCAGGCAAGGTGTTCCAGGCCCTTTCTTAGATCAAGGCGCTGTAGGGACATTCCAGTGCATGGCAGCAGGGATCTCACAGACACTTAGTGCACGGCAGGCCAGTACATGGCAGATTTACACCCTAGCCTGCCGCCAACTAAATATTTGTATAGACAAGCCGCCCCAGACTGCCTTTCCCCCTGGTGTCATATTCACCCCAGCACAACCCCCGGATCCTAGGATCTGTGTCACCAAAGCCTGGACAGGGCTTTGAAAGTGCAACTGTGATTTGCACTAACTCGAGCCCTTTTCAGCCCCAGTCTTACTGCTCTTTACAGCCTCTCACAAGAGCCCTGCAGCACTCTTCCCAATCGCCAGGTGAATAAGGCCCAGGGGCAAGAGTAACTTGTGCTTAAG